CCCAAGAGGAAGCTCATAACCTTCCATTTCTCTTGATATCTCATCATGTTGTCATAAGCACGAGAGAGGCGATCACAATATGGGATAAGAAGGTAGTTATGGTGCTCATCCCACAACAAGTTCATATTACTATGATATTGACCAATGGTAAGATTCCCTTATTTTACCAAGTCAAATCAAGCCGAATGGACTCACCTTGGGTAAACTTAGATTTGAGGTAATTTCAAGTTTCAGAAGCTAATTTAATGTTCCTCGGACTCGGAATTCTATCACTAGACACAAAATTCATAATCCAACCCACAACAATTTCATTGATATGATCCCATATTCCATAATCTGACTAATGGGGTACCTGAATTATACCTAGGACAAATCCTAATTCTTGGTTATGACATTGTTGGAGACCTCCATTGACTCACTCTAGAGGAGGTAGTCGTTATCGTTAAGCAGGGTTCCAATCGCTGATATAAAGGAGTTGTCACTATGTGTAAGGTAACATGGTTTGGAATGATGATCCTCATAGCGAGGCAATGATATTTCCTTATCCTTCGAATCCTTACCAAAAGAGTCACTGTCAGCCATTGTTAGATTTTTAGGGGAGCTAAAAGGAATAGAAAGGAGAAAAAGTAAAGAGAAAGAAAATAGCATAAACAAACAGCGAATGGTTGAATGTATTAAATATTTAACCATTCTCTAATACCATGAGAGAGAACACCTAGCAGATAAGTAAAGTAGGGTTTGGAGAGAAATGAATGCCATATTGGGCTATCGGCGATGCATATTTCCATTTTCATATCTACGCTCATTGATTGGGGTTATCTTGCATGAAAGTCCTTTCTCTTTATGTACTTTGCATCTTTATCATGCCTTTTGCTCTTTATTTGAGTCACTATCGCGTTTTTTGGGCTCCTTGGAGTTTCAATAAAACTGCCCATGTAATACCAAAACATTTTCTTCCATCGATGGTTCGGTTATGAAAATACTACCATGTGTGATTGCAGTTGGTGTCATAATTAGTATTTATACTACGCCCTCTTGAGTTGCTTGAAAAACATCTCCGATATGATTATTTTGTTATCCATCAAAACCTTTTTAGAGAAGAAGACTAAGGGTGGGCAACGGGACATGACTGGATACACATTCCGTTTGAAATGGGTACCCAGTCACATTTGGAGAGGAAACTCCATCCCATGTCCCATTACACGTATGGGACAAATAACGGGTATCCACCACTACTCTCTGTTGTGCCTTCTTTCGTTTCAGTTTGACTTCCTCCATGAGGTTAACAGGTCTCATGTTTTATATTTCTCACTAAAAGCTGAGGGCTTCCTGGGGGATTTACAGATTCCTAATGTCCTCCATCCATCCTTCCACTGCTGTTTCAGCTGCTTCAAATGAAGTATCATTTACATTTTTTAAATAGTGACAAAATGATCATTCAATCTCTCTTTATATTTAACTCTCTGATTCCCATTAACCCGATCTATAACCAATAAGGCATTCATGATGTTCCGCTACCATTATATAAGGGAAAGATAATATGATATTATATTCTATAATTCAAGGTTCAAGAAGGCGTTAGGCATAAGGCGGGCGTTGAGACTTTGCCTAGTGCCTAGCTCGCGTAGGCGTAGACTAAACGTGCCTAGGCGTTTGAAGAAAAATAGCTATTCGCACTGCATGATTAATGAAACAATAATCTACAACACTTCCTCACTTCAGTTAAAATGATTAATAACTTACTCAACACTTAATGACAAAAACATAACTCAGGAATTCATAAAATCATAGCTCATAAGTTCATAAAGTTTTTGAGCTATTGAAAATATTGATATAGAAAATTGATTTCGTAGTTATCGTTAATTTGCTCTTTTAATATTGACCTTCTAGCTCCATCTAGTTATGTTTAGTAGAGACTTAGATGTCACCTTACTCTATTGACGTATTCCAGTATCTAACTAGACGCGAAACCCCTAGGCGAGGTGTTTTGCCGCTGCCTTGCGCCTAAGCGTAAGGTTAAACGTGCCTTTTTGAACCATGTCATATATTATGAACTTATCTCAATTTTAATGATTGGGCGGGTACTACGGGTCCCTATAATACCCAAATGGGCATTAATCGGTAACCCGCGGGTACCCATTGTAGAACTTCTTCCTTCCAAGTCCTATCCCGTAAAAAAAATTGCAAGTATTTGGGTACTCGTAACCTAAAAAAATAGGACGGTTATGGGTATGCCTTTTTTGTCATTAGATCACTCACAAAGAGAAGAATGTCAAGATACCAGTTACATAGAGCACAATAAAGAAACGAAATCAAACCCCTGAAACACTTGGGACGATAAAAATAGGGCATGACAAGCTACAACATGAGCCCCACTATTCATATACCTACCAACAAAAAGAAGGCGAAACTTATTAGACTCCGTCAAAATCCTGGAAATCTCCCAAAGAATAGCACTACAGCTAACATCCTCAAATGAACAGGCTAAGCAGCGATCAAGAAGAACTTTAGCATTCCCATAAAAAGTGACGTCGTGAAATCCTTTTCAAAGACAAATCCGTACAGCAGCGCATGCTAGTGCCTCCACGGTGATGGGGTTGACCACATAAGGATAACGAAATGCAGATTCCCATACAATAGAATTTGCAACATCTTGCAACACGATTCCCGCAGTCCGAAGACTTGGAGCACTAGTCGCCCCATGAAAGAAACAATTGTTAGCCGAACATGTCATAACTGAGTCTGGCTTGACAATGTGAGTACGAGATCCAAAATAATAGCCAGGGCCTGTAGATAAAGGTTGGGCTGAATTGAGAATAGTTTGATCAACCTCCTTCATTTGGTGCCGCCATTGTGCTACCAATGTGTGTGGGTGAAGCTGACACTTTTCAAAGTGAACACTGCAGTGATTCTTCCACAAGTGCCAGAGCACAGACGAAACCTGAAAAATCACATAGTCCTGCTCCAAAAAATTGGATGAAAGGATCAAGCGTCAAAGGAATTTGGTCAAGCAACTTCTTCCTTATGAGGGAAGGACCCCCAATCCAACCAGATTCCACATGTGCAACACCAAAAGACAAAGGAAAAACAAATGTTCAATCGACTCAGGTTCAAATCGACACACGGGAAAAGCATCTTCAATATCCAGACCTCTAACAATCAAACCATCACAGGTTGGAATAACACGGTGAGCAAGCTTCCAAAGGAAGAATTTAATTTTAGGATGAAGTTTAAGACCCATCCGCATGGGATGAATTCGTTGTGCAACCAATGCCTGAGTAATCATAGCCTAAAATCCTTCTATTGCCAATTTAAAGAGCAAAGGGGACTCACCTTGTTGGATACCTCTAGATGAATGAAAGTACCTTGTTGGTGTCTCATTAACCATGATCGAGAAGAACGCAGTAGTCACACATTCTTTGATCCAGTTGACCCAAATGGGCAAGAAACCAAGTTGTTCCAACAGAGCAAACAAATAAGACCACTCTAAACAATCATACGCTTTCTCCATATACAATTTCACAGCCATGAATTTCTCTCTACCACTCCTCCTATTCTTCAAGTAAAACATCGGTTCATGGGCAACAATGATGTTATCCACAATCTGCCTATCCCTCACAAACTTATTTTGTTCAGAACCCACCAAATGAGGTAAGACATTTCCTAATCTTGATGAAAGAATCTTCGTAATCACCTTGTAGAGAAATTGGCACAGGCTTATGGGACGGAGTTTATTCATCCTCTACATTGTTTCCACTTTAGGAATCTGGGAGACCCACGTATGATTGAAATAATGTAGAAGATGACCCAACTCAAAGAAATGAGCAACCACACGGATCACACTTAGACCCACTAAATCCCAAAAGGATTTACAGAAAGCACATGCGAAGCCATATGACCCCAGAGCTCGAGTGTCACCCATAGAAAAGACAGTGGCACGAATCTCTTGCCAAAACTGGTCAAAGTAATAAGCATTCATTTCGAGACTTACCATGCAAGGAAAAGAGAGCCAAAGCACTGCAGTAGCCACTCGAATCGAATCCTTGGGAGAAAAGAGTTCGGAAGTGAATTGTGAAGAGAAATGATCAACAACATGACTCTACTTACCAATCTCACCACAAATCCATTCGCCATGACCATTAACAAGACCTGCAATCTAAATTCCCCGACACCTAGTCTGGGTGACAGTGTAAAAATACCCAGAGTTTTGATCCCCCTCTCGAAGCCATCGAACCCTAGAACGTTGTCGCAAATACTTTTCTTCCTCCACCCAAGCATGAGAGAGCTCGCGTTCAAGCAAAGATAATTCATCCCAGTCCATCGGTGAAGAATTGAAAATAGAGGAAGAAACAGTTTGTAGCTCACGGATCTGACAAGCGGAATTAGAGGTACTGCGGTTCGCCCAGCCAAAAAGAAGATGACGAGCCTTTTATGAGTTTCATACAATAATAACAAAGAGGGAGCATAAGAACGAACTGAAATAGTAAGAGACTGAATTGTTAGAGGCGGTCCCAACCCCTGACAATTCCATGCCATTATCTTCACTTGGCCTAGACGAGCATTCACTGCTCGTCGCCTCCACAATATCAGAATAAGAACCATCACCATCGTTCATGGGTATTAGTATACCCAAATACCTGTTTCCCGTTGCCCAACACTAAAAAAGACAGAGCACAATCCACAAGAAAGATGGAACCTTTCATCCGAAAGATAATTACACTCATCCCTTTGTAATGATTGGGATTATGGGTACTTGTTGGTAATTATTCATGAGGATTAAAATGCAAGATATCATTGATTATACTCTCATCCCTTTGTAATGATTGGGATTATGGGTACTTGTTGCTAATTGTTCATGAGGATTAAAATGCAATATATCATTGATTAATGTTTAAAAATGCAAGAGGATTAAAATGCAAGAGGTACTTGTTTAGGTATCGAAGATATGGGTTGGAAAACCAACGAATATAAATCTCATTCTGAATCTCATTCTTCTTTCCTTTCTCTCTCTCTCTCTCTCTACACGGCCTTCTGTGTGTTTTCTCATCTACCTCTCGTCCTTCCTTCTCAAATCTCAATCGACTCCGCCTGAGTCAGTCAGTCACTCGCCGGTAGACTCCACCGATCCAAGGTGTGCATTACATCCTCGCGGAGACTGGCAGTTTTGGATTTCAATACAAAACTAGTCAGTTTCCGAACTGCCAGTCCCATCTCTTCATTTGGCACTCGCACCTGGCGGCGTCCCTACAACTTTGCCCCCGGTAGTCGCCCCACCATTACAGGTGAATTCGATTTGGACACTGCTTCTCGCGGGGGCTTGTTTACATTACTTGGAGTTCACTCTGGTATAAACTTTTTTCCCCTAAACCCAATTGGCGATCTTGTTCCACCCAGGTTTGCTCCTTGAGGAAAAATGGGATCCTCAGATTGTCAGCATTCTGGATCAGGTAAATGCTTTCGTGACTTGCCATTTCGCCGAACTTGAGAATTCCTATGCTGTCTAATTATTTGTGACATTATTGAATTTAGTCAAGCAGATTGCATACCTTTGATTGCGTTTGCATTAGGGTTTGTATAAGTGAGTGATCATTAGGTGTATTAAGTTAGTTTCTGGAACCTAATAAATTATGCATCTTTTTTAAAGGGTAGATGTTCTTTTTATTGATCTGTGGATTTCCACAACGAAGTCGTGGTGTTTGAATGGCAGTTACTGTCTTGTGTTTGCAGAGAGTTCTCCTTTCTTGTCCGACAAATCGGCCAAGGTGTTCGTAGCTGGCCACCGCGGGCTAGTAGGCTCTGCCATTGTTCGCAAGCTCCAGTCTCTGGGTTTCGCCAACCTTCTGCTCCGAACCCACTCTGAGCTTGATCTCACTCGTCAGGCTGACGTGGAATCATTCTTTGCTGCTGAAAAGCCAGACTTTGTAATCTTGGCAGCTGCCAAAGTTGGTGGTATCCACGCCAATAACACATACCCTGCGGATTTCATAGCCATCAACCTCCAAATCCAGACCAACGTCATCGACTCTGCTTACAAGCACGGTGTCAAGAAGCTCCTCTTCCTGGGCTCATCCTGCATCTACCCAAAACTGGCCCCTCAGCCTATCCCGGAAGATGCACTGCTCACGGGGCCTTTAGAGCCAACGAATGAGTGGTACGCAGTGGCCAAGATCGCTGGTATCAAGATGTGTCAGGGTTACCGGATTCAGTACAGCTGGGATGCAATCTCTGGGATGCCAACGAACTTGTACGGTCCCAACGACAACTTCCACCCGGAGAATTCACACGTCTTGCCGGCACTGATGAGGAGGTTTCACGAGGCGAAGGTGAATGGGGACAAGGAAGTGGTGGTTTGGGGGACGGGGAGCCCTTTGAGGGAGTTTCTCCATGTGGATGATTTGGCTGACGCGGTGGTGTTTATGATGGAGGAGTACAGTGGTTTAGAGCATTTGAATGTTGGGAGTGGGAAGGAAGTGACTATTAAGGAGCTCGCGGAGTTGGTAAAGGAAGTTGTTGGGTTTGAAGGGGAACTCGTTTGGGACAGCTCGAAGCCAGATGGAACTCCGAGGAAGTTGATGGATAGCTCCAAGCTGCTGGGAATGGGTTGGAAGCCCAAGGTTTCGCTTAGGGAAGGGCTGGTTGATACTTACAAGTGGTACACAGCCAATGCAATAACTAAGCAATGATGAGACTTGAGAGCTAAAATTTGACATCTTCTGTCCTGAGACTTGTTCCAGCAGTGTTGTCGGCCATTTTATGTTAAACATGCTACATTTGAGATTTATGTAAGAGTGGTTATTGAGTTTGTGAAGATGGGATCAGTAAAAAGTCGGTGGTTCTATTAGTGCTGTTGTATCGTTCTAGAAATCTTATTGATAACAAAAGGGTTGTCTCTTTTCGTTGAATCTGTACTTGGTTCATGAGGACAATTGATCAGCTGCTACAGTGATGTCCAAGCATGTTGGCTCAAATCTGGTGTCTATGTGGGCATGGTGAGGTTGTACATTTTGCACTGGTCACATAGTAAAATGATAATGCAGCAACACGATGAGATGCTACTTCTAGATCTAGTGTCCAAAATCCAAGTCATTTATAAACTTCGTATTTGATCGATAAGAGTCGCCGTCGATTGTGTTTGTCCTGGGCTCTCTTTGCTACAAAACTTGTAACAACACACCGTTTAAGGGTGATCGACACCATTCGGCAACAACATTAGAGTTGAGGAGTTGTGTTGCCAATGGGGAGTTTGGAGTCAAAATCTCAGAAGTCTGCAAATAATTCAAGGAAAATGAAACAAGTAAGTCACGGAATTTTGGGTAAACACTAATTATTAGTCAAACATTTTTCGCATTATTTTTTATTAGTCAAACCTATTAAATAATTTTAATTGATCAAATCTTTTGTAATGAATTAAAATATTAGTAACTTTTAAGTTATCGTTAATAATTTTTTAATTTTTTTCATAGTTAAAATAATAAAAATTTGGAATACTCACCTCATGCGTCTCTTCCAAGTTAGTATCATGTTGCCAAGTAAATATTACTAACAAAATTGCCAACTGGAAGTTAACATTTGATTAATTCTTAGTAATTCAATAGGTTTAGCTAATAAAAAAAAATGAGAAAAAGATTTAACTAATAATTAGTATTTTGACAAATAACCTGTATTATTCCATTAGTGTGAAATAGTACAAGAATTAATTTGTAAATGAGAAACTATAAAGATAGGAGGCTTGGATTGGCAGAACTTTGTATCCTCCCAAGTACACTAAGTGTGGGCCAAAATATGGGTTGTTTGGTTGCTAGTTCCACCCGAAAACCTTAAAGTAAACGAACCCAACTCTTTCACACGCTCTGCTAACTCGCCACATGCCACCCCTTCCTCTGTTATTCCAGTCTCTAGGCTAAGATTAGTCACATTAGGGGTGTTCAAACGGTTTGGTTACCGTGGTAACCGTTTTAACTGGTACTATTTTGGATAATTTGGTTTGGTTAATTTGGATAATTGGTTTGGTTTGGTTAAAGTTTTTAGGTTGTTTGGTTTAGGTGGTTTGGATTGGTTTCAGACACTCCTAACCCGTCAAACCAAATTAACCAGTTAATTAATTAGTCATATATCTAACATATATTATATACACATACTTAATACTTTGCATAACCACTCAAGAGTTAACGTTCATCCCTTTTAGACTCATATAAAATATAAAGGTTAATATTGCTCATATAGTGTATATTTGTATATGTAAAGTGTAGACCACAACATATAGACGCCTAATTTAGATAATTTCATACATTATGATGGATGAAAACTTGAAAGGAATGCCATTTCCAGCCTATGATAATTGCTAAGAGACTATGTCAATTTACACAAACACAACAATTCATTAACCCATACCATTGTCATAAATTTTTGTTAGGTGAATACTTCTATACTAATCGTAAGATAATTGTCTTAATTGGATGTATTTTTGTTAAGGGTCAACTATAAGTACATGTTGATTGTTATGATTTATTCATTATGTAAATTGCGAATTGCTGCATTAACCGAAAAATTTTCATCATCAATGATAATGTGATTTTATATTGGTTAATCTGGTTAACCAATTAACCAAACCGATTAAACTTTAGTTTGGTTAATTTGGTTGTTGTATTAGTTTGGACGGTTTGGTTATGATATTATATTCCATGCTTAATGGAATTTAGCCTTATTTGGTTTGGTTATAACCATGGTAACCATTTGAACACCCCTAAGTCACATGACCTGGGGGTTCCTTAGTCACATGACTAAGCCAATCTCATCCATTCAACTTCATTAAAATCTAATGGTCTTAATTTATCCAGTTTAATGAAGGATAAGATGGTAATTACATATTTTATTTATTTAACAATTAAAATAAAAATAAATCGCAGCACCCAGAGTGGGTATCTCCCGCCCCTCATCGGGATTATTTTTGCCAGTGGCCCCTCGCCGAGATCATTTTTGCCAGTTCCCCTCACATGGATTATTGTCGTGGCCTTTCCCCATTTTTTCCTTTCCTGGGGATTTTTCCCAGCAGCTACGAGAGAGAGAGAGAGATAGAGAGTGTTTCGTCATTGGTAAATTTCCTGGCGGCGACAGAAAGGATTTTCCGGTGATGGGAGGTTTTCCGGCGATAGCGTGTGTTTTGTTATGTTTGTCAAACAATTTTGTAATGTTTGTAAGTATATTTTGTGACTTTGTATCAATTTGGTTTGTATCGTTTATCATTCTAGTTTATCATTTTTATCTACTATATTTGTAATGTTTATATGACTAATTTGTATATATTGTAATTCGTAATGTTTGTTTCTCTAGTTTGTATACTTTATGTTGTGATTTGTATACTTTGTATTCATTGATTTGTAATACAAGTTTACTGTTTTATATTGTAAGTAGTGGCATTTTGTACTGTTAGTATGTTTTGTAATGTTTGTCGGTCTAGTTTGTATTAGTTCATATGTTTCGAATTGTTTGTAAATATGTTTGTGTGTTTTGTCGCTCTAGTTTGTATTGTTCGTATGTTTGTATGGTTTGTACTGTTTGTAAGTTAGGTTTGTATATTTCGTTATTTTTAATAATACCCAAACTACTCCTATCATTAATTAAAAAGCCCTTCCCACTTTTTAACCGTCAGATTGATGTGTACAGATCTAAAGGCTGGGAGGGATTACTCCCTCAGCCACTGGATTGGCTAATAATTAGTATTAGCAAGACTTTTTTTTAACAAATCACTCAAATACGCAATTGTCCTGAAAGTGAAAGGTCAGAAACTGCATCCGTATCAGTACCATCCTTGCCATGCCCATTTCTCGAGCCCAGCGCCCGTGCCGTGCCCAACAAGATCAACGTCAAGAAAACCCATCACGTAAAATCTCAAACTTAATTCAGCCTCAACTACTACAAATTAAACAGTCACATTACTGGTGAAACTTAACCACCACAAATGAAAGCAACAAGTGTCATTGGAGGACAAAGCCATCAGTGTCTTCCATTCCAATTTCCAACTCCAATGATATGAGATTGAGCCCACGTGGCAATCCCAAAAATTGATTTATGTATTTTAAACTAGCTTTGAGTCCGGTGAGTTGGCCGAAAAGTGATTTTTGTTTAAGATAAATTAGTTTGTACTTCACGACAACGTTTTAACACATAAAGTTGCTGTATATTACTATTAATTATGAGAGTACAAAACTAAACACTGATATAATTTAGGGCAATGTCTATTTTATATCCAAATCTTTTTCAGATTCTTTTATATTATCCAAACCTATTAAAATTTTATTAATTATCCAAATCTTTCATAATGCATCAAAATATTAGCCATTTTTACGTTATCGTTAATAATTTTGTAACTCTTTTCTTAGTTAAAATACTAAAATTTTGGAATGTTGACCTTCATGAGTCTCTTCCAAGTCAGTATCATGTTGCCAAGTCAATATTACTAACAAAATTGCTAACTGAAAGTTAACATTTGGCTAATTCATAGTATTTCAATAGGTTTGGATAATATAAAAGAATCTGAAAAAGGTTTGGATAAAAATAGACATTGCCCTATAATTTAATAGCTTAGTAGAATAAGAAACTTGTCCGATGAACTTTGGTAGTACATGAGTACTTCATAGAGGTAGAATCAAATTATATTGATATAGTTTACTAATTGTCCAATAGGAGCATAAATCATGAATATATGATTGTGAGCATGGTTTTGATGGAAAAAAATTCAACATATATCAAAATGGATAACGTTGCATAGATCACATAAAATCTGATTTTTTGGCATAAAAATATATAAATTCGGAGTTCAAACGAAATCAATACGGTTCAATTAAGAATAGTAGGGAATTGGAAAAGAAGAGAGAGTGTGCTAGGTGGCACATTCTAGTTGGATTACTGAAAATTTAAAAGACAAAATTAAATAAAAAATAAACTATTTTAAATTAACATGAAAAGAAAAAAGAATCTATGAAAAGATCTGATTGGTGGGATGGCTGCTGGGATAGATGCTTAAGAAGGCTTGAATTTTGAAATGGTAAAGCGTAAATGGAGAAAGTGTTTATTATATTCTTTAGATTATGTATTTGTATTTAGTTATATTTTGTGATTATTGGGGTTATTTTATTTGTTTAGTTGGAATAGGGTTATTCGTAATTATGTTAATATTGAATTAATGTGTTTTGTAAAAGAAGAAAAGAAATTCAAGAAGGAAAAGGAGAGGGTAAAAGCATGGAGTGATAAGAAAAAAGATTTGGTTGTGTAAATAATTTTTTGTTTGTCTATGGTTATAATACGAGAAGATTGGAACTCATTTTATGTTTATTGTCTTTGTTATTTAATTAGTTGTTTCGTAGATATTTTGGGGTTGTCCTCTCCATTAAGGAGATTCGCGTACTCGAGAGTGTCGAGGAAGTTATCCCAAAGTCCGGAAATCAAAGATCTATATGTATAATTCAACCTTGAAGATGCATATAAGTAACAATTGGTATCGGAGCCCAGTTCTCCGACACCATATTTAAGATGTCGATTTCCATAAGAGTTGACATCCGAGTTGCGAACATCAACTTTGAAGGCGATGCTCCATTCAATGATATCTTAGTGGTTTGAGGTGGATCCATCCAAGGAGCTATCCATAGCTCTAAAGACACCCACGACACCATTTCCTACCAAAGCGACAATCTACATGGAAGCTTCTTTAATGGACGTGTCTTCGTTCGTAGTGGCACCAAACGAGATCATCCATGTTGTTGAAGGTAAGGAGAAGAGGGTAACACGTGGTAACGTTAAGAATTTGAGATTCAGAAAGAATGTTATAGAGGGTGAACAGACACATCATGAGGGTGGTGGCGGCGGCGATGATGTTGGAGGAAGGTTGATGGATGTTGTCATCAATACGACTACAGGCCCAGTAGATGGAAAGTAATCGACAAAAATTAGAAAAGCATCGAGTCTGTGATGACAAAGTTGGCTTTTGCAAACTTCTCTTTTCCGACTATTCGTGCATAGGATCACGTGGGATCGACGACGAGAGGGCCCAAGTTGAGGAAAAAAGACGTTGTTAATGGGATCTCTTCCATGATGGCAAGGGGAGCAACTAGGAAAGTTTGGGTGTGTTTAGAAGTTGTGATTTTTTAAATTGATGTATTGGGACAATTAGTGTATTATCATTTGATAGATTGAATCAATTGATATATTAGGTAAATATCTTGTTTGGAGGTTTAGATTGTGTTTTTTATTCCGAAGGTAAAAAAGTTAGTATTGAGTGATTGTGAAGAATCTCAACAAAAAGTAGAGCTTGTAAATCCCTCAATATTGAGGGATTGTGGTGGGATCTCCAAAAACTAAATGCATGTATTCTATTTCTATATAAACAAAAAAAAAATGACTTAATCTCACAAATACATGAATTAGATCAATACACCATTTGAAATCACAACTTCCAAACGACCCCTTATTCTCGATGGTGAAGCAAGCAGGAAGAGTGTGACACTGTGTCCGTCGCGAGGATCAAGAAATTGAGAAGCGAGCCAATCAGGAACGAGGAGTTGCAAGTGGATGATGGCGAGAGGTGTTTTTGTGAATTTAGGTGTATTTCCTCTATCTATGAACAATTGATGTTTAGTATGCTCTTATCCTTGCTTGATTGAATTTTTGAGGTTAGGTCAGGGGCGGAGTTACAGTAGGGCTCTCCGAGAATCTCGAAAGTCACGTATACATGGTTTGTGATATTACGTATAATCTAACAAAACTTATTAAAAACATATACGTGCGAAATAGTTTCAAGAAATTCATTTAGCGCGACGGAAGGTATCTTCTTTAATGATGTAATGACTAATGAGCTCGGTTCGATTTCAGATGTGGCTAGGACGCTATGTTTTCCGTTTTTAATGATAAGCCGTGGACCCGTGGTTGCTGCTTTCCCCTTTCCATTTTGATTGATGGACTTCATTCATTTCAGTTATTAACCTCCCTTGCATCAATTAAGTAATTAGCTTCTTTCCATTTTGATTGATGGACTTCATTCATTTCATTTATTAACCTCCCTTGCATCAATTAAGTAATTAACCTCAATTCAAATCAAGCACTTTATTTAAAATAGGGGTTAATTGCATGGTTGGTCACTAAGATTACAAAAAACGTTCAAGTTTGGTCACTCGAAATGTTTAAATCCATTGGTGGTACTTCAGTTTACTAAAACCGTTCACGTTTGGTCACTCTCCGTCCAACTCCGTTAACTTTTGCTGATGTGGCAGTCAAACTCTCAAAGTTGACTGTTAACTTAGTGACGTGGCAACTAAAAAATTATTAAAAATAAAAAAAACTCTTATATTTTCCACCTCATTATTACATTCATTAAAAAATAAAAAAATAAAAAACCAACGATTCCTATTGGCAGAACTTCACTCCTGCCCAGTGAGCCCGGGGAAACCCTCCCGCGGCGGCTCCGATGCTTTCTCCGCCTCCTTCGCCCACCAAGCTAGATGATGGGACACCATTTCCGTACCCTCCATCGGGAAAAACTGCCGAGTCACTGGCCCAGGGCTCATCATCTCTAAATCCTCTTTCTCTTCTCCTTCCACCTCCTCCTCCGCCACGGAGAACCCGAAAACCTTGTAGATGTTCGAGAGGCTTGTGGCCTGGGACAAGAGGTTCGAGGTCGTCGTCCCTCACGTTGCTACACTTGTAATATCCCCTGCTTTGGAGAAAGAAACAAAGTTGAATTAGCGATAGAGTTTTTGTCCATTGAATGCTTCCCCAAACGATTATTGACGTGACTCCAAACAAGAGACAATAGAAAGGGAAAATACATCGATTCAGTTCAATTCATTACCTTGGGTGTGGCGAGCCTTTGATTGGCTTTTACTTGTATTTCCTCCACGAGTACTCATCCGCCGGGATGTCAGCCATCTTGCTGCTGTTTGCCGGAACTCTCATCACTCTTTTCATTCTTGATTTCCTGCAAACAATATTTCGAATCAGATTCAACAAACCCATGAAATTAACTCGACAATTAATGTTTAAGATTTGTTGGAACTGGAAAAAAGGGTGAACCTTTTCTTGGAGCAATGGCAGTGGTCGGAGGAGGATCCGCTTTTAAGGCCGGTGGAGTCGTCCATGGAGCTGCACTTTCTCTTCAGGGAGGAAGAAGACAAAGGAGGCTTCCTGTGAGAGGGATGAGTGAACTGAAACCCGGAAGACGACATAGATACTGTTCGTATCCCCTGTTACCGAAGAAATGAAAGAGGTAGCGGCGGAGATCGAAGGCGAATTCGAGAAATTGATGGTGGAAGAAGGCACTGATTCCCGTATTACAAGAGGGTTTGTCGAAGAAGGCACTGATTCGCGTGAGGGGAGGCGGAAAAGTATCGGAGCCGCCGTGGGAGGGTTTCCCCGGGCTCACTGGGCAGGAGTGAAGTTCTGCCAATCAGAATCGTTGGTTTTTTTTTATTTTTTATTTTTTAATGAATGTAATAATGAGATGGAAAATATATAAGTTTATTTTTTTATTTTTAATAATTTTTTAGTTGCCACGTCACTAAGTTAACTGTCAACTTTGAGAGTTTGACTGCCACATCAGCAAAAATTAACGGAGTTGGACGGAAAGTGACCAAACTTGAACGGTTTCAGTAAACTGAAGTACCACCAATGGATTTAAATATTTAGAGTGACCAAACTTGAACGTTTTTTGTAATCTCAGTGACCAACCATGCAATTAACCCTTTAAAATAGATAATTAAGTCCTACAATTTTAAAATTTTTAATTTTTAATATTATTTGCAATTAGTGAATTTAATAAGAAAAAATATAGTTTTTTTATGCAAAATAAAAAAATTTGTATTCAGCACATGCAACCATCAGAAAAACCTGATGTGCCTCTCAAACCAATACACCCAATCAAACGGGTAATGCTAATGTCTCTATATCCTATCTATATACTCCAACTCACTATGGAGGACAAGATCTCCAGAAACTCTATACAAGACGTCAGTATGTACTTGCTTCACTATCTCCTCGGGCTACCTAATTGTCTTCATTCCATACAGCCGAGTACAACGCTCTCGCCAAACATTCCTTGAGTTCATTTTCCTCCAATTCTGCACACCCCAAGACACAACTCCATCCCAATCTCCTGCAGCTGGCGGTGAGAAAGTTTTTAAGCACTGCTCTAGCACAAACACTGTATACGAACAAGAGACCAAGAGATGACTTCGATTTTCTAAGCCTCTTGGACATAACAGACATAAGCCAGACATTGATTTTCCCCAAGCGAGTAGCTTATCCTGAGTGACCAGTCTATTACGCATAGCAAGCCAGAGGATAAATCCATGTCTAGGAATTATCTCCTTAGACCACACCAGTTTCCACCATTCAACCTTCTGCGGGCAGTCTCGTATAGTATCCCAAACTTTTGTAACAAAATATTTATGCATTTTCTCACCTTGCCATAAGACATGAGGAGGAACACCTGAAATATGAGGAGCATCAATCCCTCGACATTTCAGAAACCTCCTCCATACCCATGTCCTAGCAGATGAACCTGAAACTTCCCAGATTCTCTTCTGCTTCAGTCTGTACTGAGTAACCCAGGCTACCCAAAGCGATCATCCCAATATTAATATCTCCCAAATGTGCCTTAATACACAAGCCTTATTCTAGAGACCGAAGCTACGAATCCCCAGTCCGCCTTCTAGCTTTGGCAGCACAAGCTTGTCCCATGTCATCACTGCTCGCTTTCTCGTTCCATCCTCAGCAGAGTCCCATAGGAACTCATTACATAAATGCTCCACGTCTTTGATAATATACCGAGGAAGGAGAAAAATGTTAAGCCAGAGTTGCAAAGTGCTAGTTATCATAGTGGAAATGAGCTGAATTCTTCCAGCATATGTTAGCAGTCGAGATCTCTAGCTGCACAATCTCTGTGTAATTTTATCAATAAGAACTTGACAGTTCTGCTTGGTATGCTTTTCAGTTATCAATGGCACCCCTAAATATCTTACAGGAAGAGTACCGAGGGGGAATTCTGTTGTAGCATATATGTATTGCATTTCCTCCCTTGTTATCCTTACAAAGAATAGCTTACACGTGGCTGCATTGCATTTAAGTCGCGAAAACTTATAAAACCAATCCATTAATCTTGTTATACATGCAACCTCTTTAACCGAACCATTTGTGAACATCATCAGATCATCCGCAAAACATAAATGTGTAATCATTAGAGGCTTACACCTAGGGTGAAAAGGTATTTGGTTATCCCTCACGAGCTTTTATATTCCCACAAAGACCACCATTCAGAGACACCTTAATGGTTGGAGTTGTAACACAAGCAGACAACAAGTTAATAAACTCAGCAGGGAATCCCATCGCTTCTATAACAGTGAATAAGAACTTCCAATTAACCGAGTTGAATGCCTAATATGAAAATATTATATGTTGGTATAATAAAATTAAATTAGCATTTTAAAATATTTTGATTATGAATATTTTTTAGCCTTTTGCGGTAAAATATTAAGAAAACTCGCCCCTCTCCCGAATATTAAATTCTGGCTCCGCCCTTGGGTAAGGTTCCTACTTTAAGGCAATCACAATTGTGGTACTAAAATGAAAAAAAAGTGGTAAAACCTCTTCCAATGGGAGCTCTAAAATTTCCAAAAAAATCACAATAAACCCTCATAATTTGTGCCCAAAATTTTCCACCAAGAAGACAAGTGCTAGGCTAGAGGGGCACGCAGAGAGCAACGCGAGCGATGCGCCGAGAGGAAGTCTGAGCCATATGATTCATGCCTAACTACTATACCAACCGAAAGCCAAGTATAATCATTAATCTGGTGTAGTACAACGGAAGTAAACTTTAATTATCAACCCGAACGACAAATTTACTATGACTTCGTGAACTATTTATTATCTAGAAAATTGAGGTTTGGTTTAACCTATCAATTAGGGGTGGGCAATGGGTGGATTGAGTGGGTTCCGGTCTTAAACTTTCCCACCCACTAAGTTATGAGTTGGTACAATATTGACCCGCAATCCACTCACAATTACTTTGGGTTTGGTTGGGTTGGTGGGAGGCGGATGGGTGCAGTTGATTTGTAGGTTGATCGTAAATGCAATTCTTCAACTATTATTATGCAAGTTAAATAACATTTATAATAATTCCTTTCAAATTAGTAACCTCCAGCCAATTTGCTCCCTATGGAGATGTGTAATACTTGTATTCAATCTTTCATTGCTTCATCAACGTATTATATAGAGAAAGTTCACGTTTTTTAGAGACTTAGATACAATTAATAGTTGATAATTAGCATCTCAATATACAGTTTACATTTGATTCGGGCCTAATTGTACATGTTTTGCCCCCGTTTTACTTAGGTGTTTGTGCCAAATTCACTCCAAAAATGTTGATTTTAAGCTAGGTTCCTCGTGTTTTAGTATGTTTCAGGATTTAACAGGTGAAACCAGCCTCGGAGTCGAAAGTTGGGATCGAAAACTGGGAGAAGAGGTGAAAAAGGGCCAGTTCACGGCTATCCAAGGAAGTTCACGGTCTTGCATGACCGTGAAGAAGAGCCCTTGACTGTGAATCGCGAGGTGTCCAGAGCCAAAAGAGAGGTTATTGGCGCAAGGTGAGTTCACGGTCGCTAAGACCGTGAGCGAAGGCTGTTGGCCGTGAACAGAAGAGATCGAAGCAGTGCGTTTTGGCGTACGCCTGCAGTTCACGGACGCGTTTCGTGGTTCACGGCCATGAACTCAGATCGTGAACTGAGCTCGTCTCTGGTTTAAATGATTATCTGAAAGGAGGAGAGAGGAAGAGCCCACTTTGTGTGAAAAGCCTTCTTCATATTTCTAGAGAGAGAAACACGAACCAAGGAAGAAGAAGACTAGGGTTTTGCTTCAACGTGGATTTTGGGAAGATTTTCTCCAAGGAAAGCTCAACACAAGGGCCAAGGAGATTGGGACCATCCTCCAAGATGGTTTCCTCTTCTTCTCTTTTTGTTTTCCCCATTTCTAGAATGGAGTAGATCTCCTTTCACTTGAGTGTTGTGAAACCCTAACTCTACCATGTAGTTTCTTTTATGTGAATTGAATGATTGTCATTGGGTATTGTTTAATTCAATGATTGAGGTATTTTCATGATTGATTGTGCATTCTTGTGCTTAGCAACCTAAGGGTTGTGCATGTTTTGTGCTTAGCATCCTTAGGTCTGTACATTATGGTGCTTAGCAACCTAAGGATTGTGAATAATTGTGCTTAGCACCCTTAGGTTTGTGCATGTTGGTGCTAGCAATCTAATTAGCCACCTTAACCTAGCTTAGAGAGGAAAATCCCCCTTCCAAGGGAGACTCAATCGAGTTGGTTTTCCTTCAACTTTTAAGACAACCTAACTAGGTTAATTTAGGGCAACCCTCAGTGTTGAATTAAGCAAATAGGTTAATCGTGATTAAGCCGTCCGACCTTTGAGTTGAGTGAGGGAGTAAGTCAATTACCGATTTCCTAAACCGAGAGGGTCGAGTGACACAACCTTTAATGTTCACCTCGGTTTAGCAATTGAGATTGTGGTCCCCGACCATGTATGCATCCCTCTGCGGTTCGCGATTACCTTGCCCAAAACAATCGTTCCAATTCACATATCATGGTAGTAGTTAGGGGGAAGCGACACCCAAGTGATCCTTCCACAAAAGAGTTTTCGAACCCATTTACCTTTGCTTTATTTTGTTATAATTAGCAAACTTTCAAACCAAAACTTTGTTGTTAGATAATGATTTCAACAATTGAAGTAGGGGTATACGGACCGGCCCGGGTTTATATCTAAATACTTGCTCTATACCGCACCCGGCTAGAGTTTAAAAACTTGGATTCTAGTCAGGATTTTTTGTGGTGTAGTTTCGTGTGAGTCAACATTACACAACATAGTGACCAATAGTAACCCAAAAATAGCCTTTATTCCCCCCCCCCCTTTAAAAGTCGATGGATAATGTGTAGTGTCGGTTGAAAATATGATGATTATTCATTAGTATAAATAAGAAACAACTATTTTTCAGGTAAATATAGGGTGCATATCATTTAGGTGACCCGCAACCCATCGATCACACACCTGATAAGTGTATGTAGGAGGTTTATTGACCTATAATCCACCCTCATCAATCACCCATCCACTGCGGTTCGGGTTATTTGCGTGTGATTCAATATAAAACCGCGGATTACCTGCCCGATGTGCACTCCTACTATCAACTAGAAAGCAAAGCAAGTAAAGATTGATATAAGTTATATTAAGAGAAATTCTCTCGGGTGTGATTCCCTTTACCTACAAATTAGGTCGATGATGATGTTCCTTGCTTGCTCACTCAAGATTTATACCGAAGAGAGTCCTAAACCCGCTTGAACTCCCTATTTGAGTTATCCAAGCTCACATATGATGAACTATCTGGAGCGAGAATTTTCTCATCTGGCAAAATAGAAGACCTAAGTCATGCAATTTATACTTCTACCAAAGGATCCCGATCCAATACGACATTGTAGTCCAATATCACCCTTGATCAATTGACCCACAATGAAGAATTGAGCAATTGCTCTAATAAACCGAATTGAATATTCTCTACCTTAGGTTAATAACACAAATTTGAGAGTTTGATCAATACCCAACCAATTCCATGAAAATACCTCAATTCAATATATATAATCAAGAGTGAAAACAAACGTAGGAAACATTCAACCATCTAACCCTAACATAGATAGCTAGAGTTCTACACATCCAAGTGAGATTGGGTTCTACTTCATAGTGAGAGAAAGAAGAAGATCACAAACTAAAAAAAAAAAAAAAAAATCAACATAAAAAGGATTGGTTCTTCTTCTATAACTTCAATTATCACTCATTGGGAGTAAATCTTGCCTTCAATTGAGAATTGAAGTCTTAAATCACCACCTAGGATTCATTGGTCGTCACTCTCTATCTATCTTTAGGAGGCTGCTGCTACTCTCTCTAAAATCATCCTCTTTCAAATATACTTTCAGTTTTTATTCATACTCAGAAGTACCAAAATCACGATCACACATCATGGAAGGTAAACCGTGACGTCGAACTGAAATGAACCATAGCTCATAGTTTCTTTGCAAATATCACAATCGAAACCGTGACTTTTTCACGAGCCGGTAAACTGTAATTTGACTACTGGAACTTTACAATTCTAACCGCCTCTTCTGTGGAGGCCACGGTTGGCCGTGAGAATTGACAATACTCGTTTGACTAAGGTGCACTGGTCAAATGTAGTAGCCATTAGTTGTGAATCACAGGCCATCCAAAACACTGACAAAGAATTGAACAGAACTAGAAAAAGAAGAATATTGGATATCCCACTGAAAAAGAAGAATGTCGTGGGAATTTATAAAGTTTTTCCTTGACTGCACTTTACTGCTGTTCCCGTCCCAGTACATTCATTATATATAATTATATGAAAAATCTTCCTTGAAACTCTCAATGTTTGGAAGAGAATGAAATTAAAATAAAAAAAAAAGAATAACAAAGAGATCATCAACACTGAAAGAATTTGCAAAATGAAGGGAACCAAAACAAAATCGATGAATAAATGCTACAAATGCTTTGAACTCAAAACAAAAATGAAAAAAAAAAAACAAAAATTCTGAATGGCTTTTGCACTTTGCAGCTCACTTTCTCTGCAGCCAGCAATACAAGGCTTCTTGCTAATCTACAGCCTCTTCCAATTCCCACTAGTTTGCCGTGCTAATTTCCTGCTCTCAGGGCCCTGGACAGTGTTGTAACATGTTCATGCTGCCAATTTCAAATCCGTGGCCAGAAGCTTTGTTAACAGAGAGCTAGCTGAGTTTCAAAGAGATGAGGGTACCAGTTTGCCAGGGGAAAACAAAGATTGTACAGTTAATAGGAAGGATTCCATTAATACTAAAAAGCTTGAAGAATCATTTCTTGACAAATGGTTTTTGGCAAACCAGTATCCTCTGGTCGCTGCCATTCTGAGGATCCACCACCCTTGCTTCCCAATGTATCTGCGCAGCTAGTGCTCGAGCCATGTCAATGGCAACTACACTATCTGACAGAACCACCCATCCCTGCAAACACAAACAACCCGTCATGGGATGAAGATGGACAAGGATAACTGATCCTTGTAGTATCGCGTGAATTCAGACATATTAGTTGCATTAATGTACCTCAGGTCTTAGAATTCGATCCATCTCCAATAGTACGTCCATCATACCACACCTCTCTGAACTAAGATGAGAGAGCAGTCCATATCCATGGAGAAAGTCATATGTTCGGGGGTAAGTCGGGAAGGGCTCACACCTGCAAGCAAAATAAAGGATTACATTAATCTCTATTTCACATAATAAGGATGACCCAGTTATCCTAGACCACGTTGTAAATGCGATTTTTACTCAAGACAATCAGATATAGTAGGCTATGAAATAGAAAGCATACCAATCATGTAGAACACCAGCGAAACCTCGATTGATTATGAGGGGAAGAGTATTACGGGCCCTAACAGGAACAACATTCATCACCCAAACCGATTTCTTCTCGTCCAGAAAGGCAGCATTTAAGCCACCGTAATGAGCATTCATGTCCATAACATTTCTTAGCATGTTGAACGGAGGTAATGGATCTTCATCACCTGGCCTCTTTGGATGGTCGGAGAAAATTAATGGTGTTAGCAATGACCAATAGTTTCTAAGAGCCGATCGCCACACCTGGGAGTCCTCATAGAAATCATCTTGTGGAACTCCTGCAAAAGGACATTCAGAATAGAGTCAGGACTTTAGATCATGGGCTTAGCATTTGCATCTTTACGTGTAAAAGAAAATATCATCTAAAACACAAAAAATACTTGCCATGAACTTGAAGCTCGTATGAGCTTAACTGCTCGGTTGACCTGTTCTGAATTGGTATCCAACGCTGACTAGTGGTTCCGCTAATACATGACACAAGAGGCTGGTAATATGGAGGAATATCATTCCCTTCATTGCAAATTGGAGGAGAAGCCGACTTACTGCAATATTATTAAAACATAAGGAAAATAAAGCAAGAGTTGTACATCCTTTGATCCCAAGCAATATACTTCAGAAAGAAAGAAAATTGAAGGAAGCTAGTTTGATCATTGCATCCTCACCGAGATTTATAACAATTGACATCAGCAGTTTTCTGCCAGATGAAAGTATCGTCCTGCTGAGCCATGAGACCCCAACAGATATTTTCAGTGAAATCTTCAATTGGTGCCACCATGCTCCTCTTCTTAATTCTAGATGAACTTCCAGTTGGTTTACTTGCCGGAGATGTTAAAACAAAGTAACCTCCTGGCTTGAGAATTCGGTCCACTTCAATAAGGAACATACCATCTGTTTTTTAGGAAGTCGTTGTCAGATAACAGTGAAAAAAGAGCTCATTCTAATATGTGTAGAAAATGAAACACTAGGATGCCTCCAACATACACTGGTTAGAAGAAGAAGAAGAAAAAAAAACTTCCACAAGACCCTGCCAAAAGAAATGTACTTCATGATACTTCTTCATATCAGAAATATATAATCACGAATGCATATCACATAGTGGTTTATATTTCTCAACATTTAGACGTCTACCACATAAACCTCTTCAGCGAGAAACGGTGAAAACAAAAGCTGAAGGAAGAAATGGTCAGCGAAGGTACAACATTCCCTTCTTACTGTCATATTTGAAACTGGTTCACAGTCCTGGTGTAAAACAGTATCAACATTCCAACAATAACAGCTTTTCCATCCGTTATATCAGATGACTAAAAACATGACTAGACAAAAGCCAAATTTCAAAATAGAAACAGAGGCACAGAAAATGGGGTAAAAGAACAAACAATAAGAGTACTAAGAAGACACAGAAGCAAAGACGAACAAGTGGAGAGGATCTGAAAAATTAAAGAGAGGAAAGTTAAGCACTCAGATGTACCTTTATCATCCCAGATAATACTGCACTGAGTACAGTGAATCATGTCAAATGACAATGAAGGATATGGAAGTTGCCGTGAGATAAAATTTCCAATCATAGCTGGTAGGCCTCTCTCAAGTGCTACTTGAACTTGGCTGCCGGTGGCCTCATAAGAAGCAATGCAGATCGGCATTACCTTGAGCGACACTAGATGAGCTCCAAAGCTTCCGAATCCACAACCAATGTCCAACACAGTCCTTACCTATGATCAGACATGAGAGCAAAAGACCATATAAGAAGAGGAAATAGATTTTCGTTTCTGTCAAATATAGTTATAAGATGCCTAACGAGTACTCTGCTGGTCATTCAACATGGAATGTCTAAGAAGGAATGCTTACACCAGCCTGATGAAACTCAGCGTCACTTCCTAAACCTATCATTTCAGCAACCTGGCGTGAGTAGTCTTTCACTCCATCAAATATCGATCCATCTTCAGAGTGAAAAGCAATTTGATTCTCTTCCAGCAGCATCAATCTACAACAATTGGGCATTAAAATTATAACCAACTAAAATACTAAAATTCTGCATTATAAGTTCACTACTTCAATGACTGAACAAAGCAGGTGGCACCTCTTTGTCATGCTTCCAGAAGAAAGAAACTGGTCTCTGCTTAGCCTCACATTACCACTCCATATTACATCCCTCCCTGCCGGCCATCTTAGTGGAATCTTGTAATCCTTTGGAGGCCGAACCAAGCAACGCTCTCTTGGCCTAAACATTTCACAATGCCTATCGAACTCTTCACCATCCTTAAACCCAGCCAATGTATTTGCAGTGACATTGTAACAAGGCACAAAATGTTCTCTTTCTTTGCCACAAAGACCAAGCACTTGCTGCCTAGCTGCAGAAACTGAGAATGATCTAAGCTCCAAATAATCAACTGCAGCCTGCTCCTTTAACCTTCTGTAATTCGAATAAATGTTTGGAACTGGTGTGACTGTGACGGAATCAAATGCAGTGGAAGACGTCGATCCTAAGATGGCAATCACAGCAAGGACACATACAAGGCACAACAACAACCAACTAGCCGGCGGTCTAGGGCCTAAAGTAACATATAGTTTATTGAGCCAAGGACTTCTCATGTCCGAATTTTTAAACAAAACAAACTTTCACAGCCAACCAAGGATCCAATCATGACCCAGAACTCCACGAGCAGGGAAAAGCGTCACCAATAGTCACATACAAGCTTGTGTACATTTAATCATGAACACGAACTATCCCTGCAAGCATCGAACAGCAGAGTCCACAGAAACCAGAGAGGCAGCAAGCCACTCGATTCGGGATCTTCAGATTTCCACTCTAAGCTTCGAATCCAGAACAATTGAGAGAAAATTGAATTGGATTTAAATCCAATTCCCCCACAGTAAATGCCAAAACAAACTCCTTGGATCAATGAAGAATAGGAACCAGAATCAACAACAGATGTCCATCAACGCGCCCAGCAACTTAACCAAATTCAGATCAACCTGCGGAGCAGAAGAAAAGTCAAAAACAGAATAAAAACAACCAAATTCTCCGCGAATGTGGCAGTGACTAACGGCCACTTTTTTTATTTTTCTAGAAGAAAAATATGAATTCCAACAGAGAGAAGGCAATTAAATGAACGAATCCCCAAAAAACACAACTCCGCCCCCCTTTTTTGTCCACTGGTAATAACCATCGAATCCCAATTCTAGCAAGGAAATGCAATCAAACTTTCCATTCTTAGCTTCAGTGCAGATCTCGAGGGAGGGAAAGAAGAAGAAACCCAAGCAAAAGATCAGATCAAATACCGATCACTAAACAGAAAATCCGGAAGGGTGCGGGCGAGGAACGAACAAAACAACGATCAGCCAGAACAATTCCGAAAAGAGGAGCTTCCGGCATCCGGCATTTGTGATGGGAAGAAACACGGAGAAGAAAGAATCGAATGAGAAGAAATGGAAACTAGGGTTTTTCAGGAAAAGGAGGAAAGTTACCAGTTTCGGGAAGGTGGTTAGTTGGAGAGAGTGGAGAGATGGGGGAAATGGCAGAGACGAGAGAGAGAGAGAGAGCGCTTTTTTGTTGTTGCTTGTTGCAGCTATCTCGGCGTTCATCAGTGTTGAAGAAAGCACAAAACAGGGGAGAGGGAGAGAATATTAAGCAGCGAATTAACAGAATTAATAAATGAGTTAACAGTAAAATTAAAATCCCTGATTATCAGATCCAAAGACAAAAGCTGTTGCGTTTTGCACCAACAAAACAAAAACAATTTTATAATTTTTAACGAAAACAAGCCCTTCTTTTTCTTGCTTAATTTGTTTTATTATTTATCGTTTCCTCTGTTTTCCTTTTTCACTTTTCTATTTTGTGTTTGTAACTTTTGACTCTTTTTACACCGAAAAAACTTTTGCCTCTTTTCTTCTTTTTTCATAGGGGAAATAGGTTGAGTAATAGTATCACATCGTAACTTCAAGATGTTAAATTCGAGTTGTTGCAATGAATTTGGTGATTTTTGCCTTGCCTCCAGTATAGTTATATAGAAAAATGATAGAAGGAACGAGGGACAGGTGGGTGTGGTGAGGCAATTATGAAGTAGAGAGAGCTGTAAGATGTCTGTGTAGGAAGGATTTGGCTGCCCTCCTTTGGAATTTGGCTATTAGCACTAATTAATTATTGTCAACCAGGAGTTCATTTATTGTATTAAAAGGATGAAATCACTTTAATTCAGGATTTCAGGTACTTTATTTTTAACATGAGTGCCAACCCTGCAATTCCATCTGTCGGCGGCCATGAATTCCAAATAAACAAATAACATGACGCCATATGATTGGTTGTACCTAACATATTAGTTAGTAATAATATTATCTTGGTCCTCCTAAAAAAACTCTTTGTCTTAACATTTTTATGTTATATATATATTAAAAAAATCATTTTTATTATATATCACCAACGGTTCAAAGGATGTTCATCACAACCGATATTCATTCTCCACTAAAGCGGAAGAGCCCTAGAGCTTGTGCCTGACTCTTCAGTCAAATGCATGGCGCCCAACCACGGGTCCCCATGAGAGGAGGTATCCCTACAATATCCCTCGAATTTCCCCGCTTAGACAGATTGAGCTCATATAGCTCGCTTCCTCTGTCGTGGAGAAGTCTAGGCACGTTATATCCTGTTTAGGAGCGTGGGTGCTCTGCTTTGAGGAGCATCACCAACAGTCCAGAGTATGTTCATCCCAACCGATATTCATTCCCCGCCAAAGCGAAAGAGCACTAGAGCTTGCGTCTGGCTCTTCAGTCAGGTGTCGGGCATTAGGGATGAACAAAACAACCTACAAACCGACCCACCCGTCCAACCCGACCCAACCCACTCGTATTTATCGTCAAAATTAAAGTTTAAGGTTGGGTGACGGTTTTCTTTTGTACAACCCGTCTCTATTGGGTTGGGTCCGGATTTTGGTTAACGCAACCTGTAGAACCCGACCCAACCCGTGTTGAACTATTGGCATAAGTGTTTGTATACAACACATATTTGTGATAAAATCAAGCTATATTATCATATTTTTCTCCTGCGATTTCTCTAATCTAATACATTCTTCAACTTAATAGACATAGATTTAATAGAAGCTATGATTCACGTAAACTTTTTTCTTGTGTGTACAATTTTACAAGAAGAATATATTATGAATATGTTAGCTTATAACTACTTTAGTTTACTTCGACAAATATTTATGAAAAAACTAGACATATGTTGAAGTAAATTGCATTTCATTAAAATCCAAACAATATTTATGCATATTGAAAATTTTTTTCCTCCATTTATTTGGGTTGGATTGGATTTAACATTTTGAAAATCGTAGTATATGGGCTGGGTGATTAATATGACCAAACCCGAATCACCCGACCCATGTACACCCCTACCGGTGCCCAACCATGGGTCTCCATGAGAGGGTATCCCTATAATATCCCTCGAATTTCCCTGCTTAGACAGATGGAGCTTATATAGCTCTCTTCCTCCGTCGAAGAGAAGCATAGGCGCATTATTTCCTATTCAGGAGCGCCGATGCTCTGCTTTGGGGAGCATCACCAATTGTGCAGACGGTGTTCCCCAACCGATATTCTTTCCCCCCAAAATGAAGAGCGTCAGAGTTTGCGCTTGACTCTTTAGATGAGTGTCGGGTTTCCGGATCCCACATCCCCATGAGAGGTGATGTCCCCAACACATCCCTCATAATATTCCTGCTTAGGCACCTCTTTCAAGTCGTTTGTATTCTCGCTTAGTCGGAAGGAGTCACTTGTGCTCACTTGCTCCATTGAGGATAAGCCTGGCATGTTATTACCTTACCGGAGCGTCGTTGTACTTCCGCTTAGTCAGAGAGAGGCCCTTGTGCTCGCTTACCCGTCGAGGAGAAGCCTAGGCAAGTGGTCTTCATCATCACTAGTAGGTGGTGCATCGAATTTCCTGGGAGGAGGGTCCATCAACCTCGTCGTCGGAGGTGCCAAGCACCTTGAATCGTGTATTGATACTTGCAAAATGGAATGTCATACATTATATAGAAATAGAAGAGCCTAGGCGATAAACCAGAAAGTCAATAGCGACCAAGCAACGACAATTCACCTTAGCTCTCTATTTAATGCAAAGGAAAATAAGGGCAAGTTCTCTAAAACAAGCACTTAGGAGACCACACCTCGACAAGGAAAGAAGAACAATTACATGACGAGGCTCTCTCAAGATCGACACAATGAGGAAGAGCTTGACATTAGGAAAGTCTGACAAGGGGTGATCGGAAGTTCACCTATTCTCCCATCCTCGTTCGAAGACAAGTCTGACAAGAGAAAGCAAGCGAAGAAGTGAGGCGCCAGACATCCCACCACTGAAGATCAGACACCTCGCTGAAGGAGGGAGGCGTCTGATGCCCCACTGAAGGTCAGACACCTCGGCAAAGGAGCGAGTCGCCATGCGCCCAACTGAAGGTTCGACACCTTGCTGAATGAGTGAGGTGTTAGGTGCCCAACTGAAGGTCATGCACCTCGACAAAAGAGCGAGTCGCCAAGCGCCCTAGTGATGGTTAGGCACCTCACTGAAGGACTGAGGTGTTAGGCGCCCAACCGAAGGTCAAACACCTCGACAAAAGGAGTGAGTCGCCAGACGCCCCACTGAAGGTGAGGCACCCCGCAGAAGGAGTAAGTGTCAGGCACCTTGCTGAAGGAGTGAGGTGTCAGGCCCAACTGAAGGTCAAACACCTCGACAAAGGAGCGATTCGTTAGGCGCCCCATGGAAGGTTAGGCACCTCGTTGAAGGAGTGAGATGCCAGGCTCCCAAATGAAAGGTTAGGCACCTCGACAGAGGAGTGAGTCATTAGGCCCCCCACTGAAGGTTAGGCATCTCACTGAAGGAGTGAGGTGTCAGGCACCCAACTAAAGGGCAGGTTCCTCGACAAAGGAGCGAGTCGCCAGACGCCCCATTGAAGGTTGGGAACCTCTCTGAAGGAGTGAGGTGTCAGGTGCCCCATTGAAGGTCAGTCACCACGACAAAGGAGCGAGGTGTCAGGCGCCCTATCAAAGGTCAGGCACCTTTGTTACACCCTGCTCTTGTCAACAATCAAAATGACTATTATACCCTTGGGAAAATTTGTCAAATTCCACCATAATATCAAGAACACATTGTGTCAGCAAATCACATAAATTTGTATGTTAATTTAATCTTTTTGTCGATTTCTATTTCGTTATGGTTCTTTGTTAACTTATGGTTATTAGTTGTTGTTTGCATAATGGAGAGACATGTAGGTGCAAAATCCTAAGCAGTTTTTGTGGCTTTTGTACTAGCATTTTTCACTTAGCTCATCGACAAAATAAAGATGATTAACTAAAAAAATTTGACAAGTGACGGGCTTCCGAAAAAAAATCCAAAAATTATCCCATGCCACTGCGGAGCGCGACTCATAAACAAACTAGTATATATATGAATATACACCAGGGCGTAACAACCCAATTAGCGTCCCGTCATCATCCCAGTAGCCCTCTGTACCACAGAGGGAGGGAGGGAAGAAAAGGAGAGCCAATGAGATTATTGGTTTTACGAGGATTTCTATGAATAAATTGGACCAAAACAGAATTTGCTTTGGGAGCATAATTGAGGCATGGAGCGATGGGTTGAACTTTCTTTCCCAAGTGAAAGCGGATCAATTGTGGTGTTACGGCCAGAGGAGGTGAGACATCAATTGGACTGCGGAGAATAACTGTTGGGGAATCTTCAATAAAGTAAGGTACAAGGTTTTTCTCTCCTCCCCGTTACCGTGCCGAGCGGTGGTAATTGTGGAAGACGTGTATATAGGTAATGAAGTTTTATTGATTAGTGCACATAGAATGAGGGGCACGCGAAATCAAATAGAGTGGTGCATGGTTTGGCCACATGCTATTCAAGAATTTCACCACTAACTTGGACTTTTATGCATGGAGCTGGTCAAGGAGGAGAGATTTTACCATCATATGAAGAATATCGAGTTACCATGAGGAGCAGCAACGAAGAATTAGGTGAGTGTAAATGCGGTCAAATCTCCGTCGAACCCTTGATGTAGTACCTATAATATCTCTTTCTATTCTCCAAGGTTTCCTTGAAGCTGATATAAGTTTAGCAGGCTTGTCCCCAAGCCGGTGCACGCGGGAAAGCAGTGATTAGTGATTACGGTTGAGCTACTCCTATACGGGAATCGTAGAACAAGTTCTCTTCCGCGTGCTAAATCAATATCGATATCGGGACTCTTCCTCTTATTAAAACTCCCGAGCTTGCTACTGCGGGTCAGCAAGAAGTACCGGGGACTATCAACCTTTGAGAACAGCAAGGATCTCCGTATCAAAATAGCTGCGCAAAAGTCTAATAAAGACTCGGGTCAGCATGCAAAAAAAGCTTCATTTCTAATGCCCCTGTTGCGTACCATTCTTATCTTAACTGTAGATACCAGTGAACATTGGTTCGTCGGGTTTTATAGGTACTACATCAAGGGGTTACCTCCAGCACCTTGCTTTCTCCGGCGATCTAGAAAAAATATCGCTCGTTTTTGTACACGACCATATAAGAGAGTCTTCCGTTTCGTTTTTATAGATAGAATATTTTTTAGTGCGAAGTACCGCAGAGCTCATTGTTTAATGTGACATAAACACCTCCAACACTTTCTTAGCGAGACGCACGAGCAAGACGACAGAGCACTTACTATGTATTATCCGTCAAAAAGATGTATTACCCATACCA